TGCGCCAGACAGTGGAGACGACTTTATGCCTTGCTAACCTCCAGACTTTAAGGTAATACAGTACGTTGGGTCCACTGAAGGGACAAGGGCTGTGAGAGATTCTTGGTTTGATGTGCTTGGTTCGTCGATAAATGTCGCAAAATGAGGATAGATTATTCCATTGGGAGAAGAGCCGAGGATGCTTGGTATTGGACAAAAGTTACAGGACTATAAAGTATGACAGTGCCCTATAAATATTTATTTGGGTGCGTAACCTTGTTGACCTGAAGCTTACCTATCACTCAAAGCCAGAGGCTCAGTAGTAACAACATCAACATTGTCTGGATTCAAACTCATTCGCAATCATGGATCCTAAAACTGGCGCATTTCACCATGACAACATGGGTGTGCCAGATACTTCCAGAGTTCTTCCACTCTTCTCTCTCAAAGGCCGCACAGCTATTGTCTCTGGCGCTGGTGCAGGTATTGGTTTAGCCATTGCTCAAGGGCTGGCAGAGGCTGGCGCTAATGTAGCTATCTGGTACAACAGCAACAAGCAAGCACTGAAAGAAGCCGAGAAGATTGAAAAGGACTACGGTGTCAAGTGTAAGCCAACTTATCTCTACACCATAGCATCGTAACTCATACAGCACCAGGCCGAGCATACCAAGTCAATGTCATCTCACCCGAGGCAGTTGACAAGGCCATCAACGAGATCATTTCCGATTTCAACGGCCGTCTAGATGTATTTGTGGCCAACTCCGGTATTGCCTGGGAAGACGGGCCTTTCATCGACGGACCAACTGAGAGAGCTCGCCGTGTTATGGAGGTCAACGTTGACGGTGTCATGTGGTGCGCCAAGAGTGCAGGAGCACATTTCCGGAGACAGAAGAAAGAGGGCACAACTTTGGATGGAAAGAAATTGACCAATTTTGTGGCAGGCAGCTTTATTGCTACAGCATCTATGAGTGGAAGCATCGTCAACATCCCTCAACTGCAGGCAGTATACAACGCTTCGAAGGCAGCTGTGATCCACTTCTGTAAGTGTTATATCGTTTGCAGAACTAAGTTTCTACGACTAACTGTAGTCATTTAGGTAAATCCCTGGCTGTGGAATGGACAGGCTTTGCTCGTGTTAACACCGTATCACCTGGATACATCAAGACCGAGATCACAGATTTCATTAGCGAGGACGTCAAGAACGTTTTTAAGGAAAAGACAGTTGCTGGGTGAGTCTAGACTGACATCAAAATTCACTTACTATTAACTAACACCATGTCTAGACGTCAAGGTGAAACTGGAGAGCTCAAGGGAGCTTATTTGTACCTGGCTAGCGATGCCTCATCGTTCACAACTGGTCACGACTTGGTCGTCGATGGTGGTTACTGTGTGCCTTAGAGATATCCGAACTGTTCGCAATTGAGCATCTCGAGTGATACGCCATGTCATGGTTGTGTATTGGGGTTAGCTATGCATCGGCACATGGGAGTTAGGGACATAGATATTCAAAGGGGTTTCCATTGAATATGAATACATATCTCAACGTCATTTTGCAGCAGACCTAAGACGACATGCTTGGCCGAGGTCAAATAAGATGCTTCAAGCTACCAATCTTGGGCTGGAAGCGCCAAGATGGCTCTATCAGGAAAAGACTGTTCCAAGCAAGGTTCTATTGACCTGCACCAGGACGAACTATTCAACTGCTAAGAGGAGCAATGAAGTGTTGACGAGCTGTAACAACGAACTGGTAGATGGGCGTAATACGGGTCAGGAATGTAAGGATACATGTCCTCATCAATGATCGTTAGATTTCAGATTCCTCTGCCTCAGGGATTTTATTGGACTAGGCTCATAGGTTTGTGAATAATATCGATACGAGCGCAAATGCGCAGAATGTTACGAAGTGAGCAATAACATTGCACCATTCACCGCTCTCTTCGTCAAAACCGTTATCCCACTTGGATCGTTGATAAGATTCTAGGCCCAGCCAAATATCCGATTTTAGCAGCAGGTTTCAGGGCAGTCGGTACCTTCCCTTTCCCTTCCCTTCCCCGTAGGACAAGTTAAAGTTGCGCAGTAGCGCAGAGAGAATGAAGAGTTCAGCTGTATCTTTTCCATTGGTAAACGAATGATGACCACGCGAGCGAAAATGCTACCTTTAATTACTGCTATCTTCTAATTGGGCCGAGGTCAGCACCTGTCATGGTAATAAACGTGAGGAGCTGTCAGATTCAGAAGAGCTGCCCAGACGGTCAAGTACTGTGCCCGCATTCACTGGTATATCTCCACCTATCAACGCTGGATCAGTACTTAAGCTCCCTCCCGGGATACCCCCAAGCCCGGTGGCCCCTTCCTTTAGAATTGCTCAACCGTCATCTCCCAACTGGCAGTGGCTGCTGAGTTCTTACCTCCCAACCTGACCTCCCGCTCTTTCTGGTCAGCCCTACCTACGGCCAGTAACCGTCTTCTTTCAAACCCGGCCACGGCATTTCCTCAGAAACTTCACTTGCGCATCGCCGTCTGCCTTTTATTATAGTCGCATTGCATTATCTCTTATTGCAAGTTTCTATAAGTATCACTCATTCATCGATCACAACTAGCAACACCTTCACCGCCGCCAGCTCTCCCCTCCTCTTGCCTCGTCGCCCCCTAGCCGCCCACCATGGACTCTGAAGGCGAGGCCAACACTGCGCCCTCTACCGAGGAGCGACGCAACGTCCAGGTCGACAATGCCATTCGCGCCATTCAGGAGAAGAAGCCGGTCCCCGAGATCGATTTTACTATTCACACCATGGAGGATAACACCCAGGTCAGCACTCTGGAGCGTGTGTGCAAAGGTTTGTGACATCCCCTCTAGTTGTCGCCGCCTCAACCCCGCCATCATCATCGACGACAATGCTGTCGCAGATTTGTCCACAATATTCCTAGCTACCACTCAGGCTAGTATCATGAAAACTACAACTCTACGGCTATGGTTTTTCTCATAAGCATCTCTCGAATACCTTAACTGACTCGAATCTATCGCATTTTCACAGATGTCCAAGCGCCTGCCATGTACAAGCCTACCGACGAACAATTCTTCGAGGATGATACCCATTCCAAGCCCAACCTTCAGTTTCTTAAGCAGCATTTCTATCGCGAGGGCCGTCTTACCGAAGAGCAGGCTCTTTGGATTATCAGGAAGGGTACCGAGCTTCTGCGCGCCGAGCCCAACCTTCTGGAGATGGACGCTCCCATCACTGTCTGTGGTGACGTTCATGGACAGTACTACGATCTTATGAAGCTGTTCGAAGTTGGAGGTGACCCTGCTGAAACCCGATACCTCTTCCTTGGTGACTATGTCGATCGAGGCTACTTCAGCATAGAGTGTGTTCTCTACCTCTGGTGTCTCAAGATTCACTACCCCAAGACCCTCTGGCTGTTGCGAGGAAACCATGAATGCCGCCACTTGACTGACTACTTCACCTTCAAGCTCGAATGCAAGCATAAATACTCAGAGACTATCTATGAGGCCTGCATGGAATCATTCTGCGCTCTTCCCCTTGCTGCTGTTATGAACAAGCAGTTCCTTTGTATTCACGGCGGACTGAGCCCAGAGTTGCACACACTCGACGACTTGAAGAGCGTTCGTTGATCTGCACTCTGCCCGTATGACTGTGACTGACCTTTCCTAGATTGATCGTTTCCGCGAGCCCCCTACTCAGGGCCTCATGTGCGACATTCTCTGGGCTGATCCTCTCGAAGACTTTGGTCAGGAGAAGACAAGCGATTATTTCCTACACAACCATGTCCGAGGATGCTCATACTTCTTCTCCTATCCAGCCGCTTGCGCTTTCTTGGAAAAGAATAACCTTCTTTCCATCATTCGTGCTCACGAGGCCCAAGATGCCGGTTACCGCATGTACCGCAAGACCCGAACTACCGGCTTTCCAAGTGTTATGACCATTTTTTCCGCCCCCAACTACCTCGATGTGTACAACAACAAGGCCGCGGTCCTCAAGTATGAGAACAACGTGATGAACATTCGACAGTTCAATTGCACTCCTCATCCTTACTGGCTCCCCAACTTCATGGACGTCTTCACCTGGTCTCTTCCTTTCGTCGGAGAGAAGATCACCGACATGCTTATTGCTATTCTCAGCACCTGCTCTGAAGAGGAACTTAAAGATGAGACACCCTCTTCAACCTCGCCCGGCCCCGCTTCGCCAGCTTTATCCAATGACCCTGAGTCGATTGAGGTTCGACGAAGAGCCATCAAGAACAAGATTCTCGCCATCGGTCGACTGTCTCGTGTATTCCAGGTGCTTCGTGAGGAGTCTGAGAAGGTCACAGAACTGAAGACTGTTTCTGGTGGAAGGTTGCCAGCGGGAACCCTTATGCTCGGTGCCGAAGGTCTCAAGAACGCAATTAACGGATTCGAGGATGCTCGAAAGGTTGATTTACAAAACGAGAGGCTGCCACCCACTCACGAGGAAGTCGTCAAGCACCAGGAGGAGGAGCGAAACACCGCGCTTCAGAAGGCAGCTGATGATGCCAACAATGACAAGAAATTGCAACAGCTCTCTAGAAGGCTCAGCACGTAAGTCATCTAATATCACGACATGAGTTAAGCCACTAATACCCGCCAGTGATCGCAAGAACCGGGCTCCAACGTCATGAACATAGTTGTACAGTAGCATATACGTTATTGTTATGAATGCTGGTGAAGGACTTGGATGAACGATTAATTATCATTCTCCCATACATGAATGGCTGCCGAAGGCTGCCAGATTTTCCTCTTCGTCGTGACTGCTGACACTCTGGTCATTACACCAGCAACGAAAAAAACAGATTGTTGGTACTAGTCCTACGCTCTGAACTTGGGCAAGAAACAAAAGCAGGATAGATGACGACGTCGTTACTTCGGGTGCCAGGTAGATATACAAATATCATTGAGCACATGGTCTATAAGTGGATGTGCTGCCCAGAGTTTTCAGTTGGCGATGCACCTTAATGAATACATGAATGCTTTTAAATAGTCAATTATGATTTGTGTCTGATGATGGCAGCTCCAGTAAACTCTCTTGATAAACCTTGGTGTAAACCGTTTCAGCCCTTGTCTGGACACTGGCGGTAGACTATTATGGCCACGGCATATCTTGCTGACGTCTCTCAAGGGCTACCTCTTCACCAAACTCATAATACCTTCTGGACAAGCTCCAAAAGATCAAAGAAAGCCTCACGCTCCAGGTCTGTTTTGGAAAGTCCAAGTCCAAGGACTAGTATTCGTCGGTCATCGGGCGATCTTAGACAAATTTGGCTGGCAATCTGTGCTGCGTAAAGCTGTCCTAGAGTCTCACGCTCCTCACCCCCTCCACCAAATAGTGTTGTTGGTGTGAGATGTGTTGATGGAAGAAGGCCTTTGTTTGAACTGGGCAGATTCATCTCAACAACTCCAGATGATGATCCTGTTAAGGGAACTTGTATCTATTACGATGTCAGCTCTAGTAGAGCTTGAAGATAGGAGTACTTAATTACCCATTGTGAAAGTCGACCTTCTTGGGAGATAGTGAGAAGGATCTTGTCGGTGAAGCTGGTGGATGTAATCTTTGTAGCGACCCCATTCACGAGACCCGACAACTCTCTGGATCTCGACGGGAAAGAGTCTTCTCTAACATCAACAGTCGCCATGTTTGAAGGAGGATTATGCTTTAGTAGAGTTGAGCTGTAGCATCGAATTCCGTTCTAGAGCTGCTAGGTTCAGGCGTCGCTGCTGAGCTAGGCGGCCCCACCACCCCGCACTATACCGAAAGCAGGTACAGGTTCTAGCGGTAATTCACGGCAGAATGACTTTGATTCCAAAATTTCATGAAATTCATAGTTGCATCTGCGACTTGAGTTGATCCTCCAACGTATCGACATTTCATGCCATTTTCACAAATTTTATTGTCAATTCGCTAGACAATAACTCAAAATGGCTAAATACGTTCCTCGTCAACGCAAGCACAAAGTCCTCGCCCGTGAACGAGCCAAGGAAAATGCTCAGCATGAAGTCCAGGACAACCCAAACCAGGAGATCCTCCTGCCGACAGCAAAGGCTGATCGTGAGGCCAAAAAGGCACAGATGAAGGCAGAGCTTCGTCAAGAGGGCGCGAAAATGAGCGGAAAGAAGGCCAAGCGGTTAGAAAAGTACATCGAGGGCAAGCTGCGCAAGGATGAGTCCCGCGAGCTGATGGCTAAGCTTGCTGAGCGCCAAGTCGACACGAGCTTGTTCTCGAGCAGTCGAGTTCTTGGTCAGGGTCGCGAGACCAAGAAGGAGGCATTGAGGCGAGCTATGAGAGAGGAGAAAGCTGGTTTGGAGGGTGGTGAGGAGGAGAGAAACGAGATTCTTCTTGAGAAGAGAAAAGAGCTAGACGCGGACGAAGAGGTATCAAGCGATGAGAGTGAAGAATCTGAGCCCGAGGAACAAAAACCATCGAAGCCCACATCAACGCCCACGTCCACGCTCAAAGAGTCAGATCAACCGAAAACAGAAACATCTGCGCCAGCAATTGGTTCAGGTCTGAAGAGACCGCTCGAGGTTGACGACGAAGGACGACCGGTGATCCAAAAGCGACAGAAGCGAGGCGGGGTCAAATCAAAATTCTCCCTGGTTCAAGTCGAAGCGCTACCTGAGCCCGAATCTGAAGAAGTAGACTGTGATAGAAGCGATAACGATAGCGACGAGTGGAATGGGTTCAGCGACGACGCGGCTGAAAAGGACAATAAGGACGAAGATGACAGCGAAAGCGAGGAGGAGGCTGAAGAGGGATCTAGTGAAGGATCTGAGGAGTCTGATGACGACGAGGAGAATGAGAACATGGAAGACGCAGACGAGAACAAAGCACAGAGGTCATCATCTTTCAAGGCATGGGCGCATCAACAACGAAACGAAGCTCTCGGTTACCAATCCATCGAGGGAACAACAAATCTTGAAATTCCTAAGCCAGATAATTTCGTTCCCCGAGCCCCTGAGCAAGATCCTTTACCAATGGAACTACAACCAACGCAGAATATCAACCGGAAGGTTTACAGCGTAACGGTCACAAGAATACCAGAAGTCCAGGAGGCTAGATTAAAACTTCCTGTGGTATCGGAGGAACAAAGGATAATGGAAGCGATTCATAACCATGACATCGTCGTTGTTTGTGGCTCCACAGGTTCCGGAAAGACTACTCAAATTCCTCAGTTCTTGTATGAGTCTGGTTATGGTTCCCCTAGCTCGCCAACGCCTGGTATGATTGGTATCACTCAGCCTCGTCGAGTTGCTGCTGTCAGTATGTCGAAGCGAGTTGGTGAGGAACTTGGTGATAAGTCTGAGGTGGTGGCCTACCAGATCCGTTTCGAGGGCACAGTTGATCCCAAGACGGCTATCAAGTTCATGACCGATGGTGTTTTGCTACGAGAGGTTGCGCAGGATATTACACTGAAGAAGTATTCGGCCATTGTCATCGACGAAGCTCACGAGAGAAGCGTCAACACGGATATTCTGATTGGTATGCTCAGCCGAGTTATCAAGCTACGAGCAGAATTAGCAGCAGAGGACCCTACAGTCAAGCCTCTGAAACTCATCATCATGTCTGCTACATTGCGGATAGAAGATCTCACCATGAACCCGACGCTTTTTGCTACCCCACCGCCAGTGTTGGAGGTTGAGGGCCGACAACATCCTGTCACCATTCATTTCTCCCGAAGAACTCAGCATGATTACGTGGAAGAGGCCTTCCGAAAAATTAGCAGAGGCCACAAGAAGCTACCGCCTGGTGATATACTCGTGTTCTTGACTGGTCGGAATGAGATTCTGGAGCTCAGCAAGAAGCTCAAGGCTACGTTTGGCGGTCCAAAAACTGCCGACGGACCTAAAGTACAAATTTCTGCTAGCGAGGCTCCTGTTGAGGTCGAAGATATCGAGTTCGGAGACGTGGATGACCGTAATGGCGACGATTTTGATGAGATACCCACAGATGACGAAGATGAGGACGATGAGGATGAGTTCCAGATCGAAGAGGACCAGGAGGTTGCACCATTAAAGATGCGAGTTTTGCCTCTTTACTCCTTGCTTCCAACACGCGAGCAGATGCGAGTCTTTGAGCCAGCACCTGAGGGTACACGAAACATCATCTTGGCAACCAACGTGGCGGAAACCAGTTTGACTATTCCTGGTATTCGATATGTCTTTGACTGTGGACGATCGAAAGAGAGACAATATGATCGCTTGAGTGGAGTTCAGAGCTACGATATTGGATGGATCAGCAAAGCCAGCGCAAACCAGCGATCTGGTCGTGCTGGTCGTACCGGCCCTGGTCACTGTTACAGACTCTACTCCTCTGCAGTATATGAGAGAGATTTTCCAGCTTTCACAGATCCTGAGTTGTTGCGAATGCCTATTGAGGGTATCGTGCTACAGCTCAAGGCGATGAATCTGCAGCATGTTGTCAACTTTCCCTTCCCTACACCACCCGACCGACGAGCTCTTGCTAAGTCTGAGAAGCTGCTGACATATCTCTCTGCAATCTCTTCGACAGGCCAGGTTACCCAGATTGGCCAAACTATGTCTGTGTTCCCTCTGTCTCCTAGATTCGCGCGCATCTTGTTGGTCGGCCATCTTCATGACTGTATCCATTACACGATTGCTCTTGTTGCTGGTCTATCAGCCGCCGAAATTTTCCTTCCAGAGAACCAAGCCATTCCTGCGCTCGCAGCAAAGGATGACACCGCTATTCGTACAACATCAGACGTCATCGCAGAAGATCGTCAAGCCAATGTGCGAAAGATGTTCAACGAGGTTCATAAGAATTTCTGTTACCTGGACGATAAATCCGATGCCATCAAACTTCTGCAAGTCGTGGGTGAGTTCGCTCATGAGCCTACAGAGGAATGGTGTGAGAGCCATTTTGTCAGATACAAGGTGCTTAAGGAAATTCAACAGCTGCGGCGACAGATCACAGAGCTGTTGAGGACAAATGTTTCGGCTTTCACCAGCCTGAAATACCAGGATAAGCTGGATCCTCCATCTCCCAAACAGGTTGCTGCTCTCAAGCAGATGGTCGCGGCCGGCTTCGTGGATCAGGTTGCTATTCGAGCAGATCTAACACCCAACCCTCCTGAGCAATTCCGCAAGCCTCGCCGATCTATCGACGTTCCATATATCCCCTTGATTCCTATCCACGCTGGCAAGGAAGTTGAAAGCGACCGTGCAGTGTATATCCACCCCACCTCACCTCTTGCCCACATCAGTATTCAGGAATGCCCTGAGTACATCGTTTACTCTTATCTCCAAAGAGCTGCGCAATCGGTTGATGCGGAGAAGCGTCCGAAGACAAGAATGCATGCCCTTACAGACGTCACTGGCGGGCAATTAGCAGGATTGGCCAAGGGAACACCTCTTATCACCTACGGCAAGCCGATTAAGGAGCTCAAGCCCACAACAGGCACGGATGGTGCTACAGTACGAGAGTGCTTTGTGGTTCCATACTTGAGAGCGGAGAGCACCGGTGGTCAAGGATGGCCTCTCCCAGCGAAGAAGGTGAAGCAGAGAAAGGTTCCTGGTAAGGGATGGGTTGTGGAGTAGTGGTTGCAGATATGGGAGATGTTTTGATAATGTATTCTTGAACAGTTGACATAGACAAGATACCTCATGGTTCATACAAAATGACATATTATATATATTTACGTTCTGAGTTTTGACAGTAAACGGTGTTGTGTGATTGGGTGATCTCGACGTCATCATGCAAGCATGATGTTATAACATGAGAACTTCGAAAGACACGGCTTCAGTTGAGTTCGTAAGACTAAAAGTTGTGCCTTTTGTGGTTGTTTTGTCGTGCAATTCTTGACATGTCAACCATAAATATGTCTGAAACATCCAATACCCTCTTCCCAGGCGTGGCTCTCGTCACCGGCGCCGCATCGGGTATGTTGCTCTGCTCCAAATAACTAGTATTCGGTTCTTCATCTAAAGACACAAGGCATTGGACGTCAAATCGCCATATCGTTTGCCGTAGAAGGATGTCAGAGGCTCGCTCTGTTTGACAAAGACAACACAGGTCTAAACGATACAAAGACGGCCATCAAAACTGCAGTTGGAGATGCAAATCCAGATGTGTTCATCAGGCACGTTGATAACCTTGACACAGATGAAGTTGCCAGGAACATGGAACTTGCTGTCAAGCATTTCGGGCGTATTGACTATGCCGTCAACTGTGCTGGTATGTCTATGCATTGTTTTGCTTTGACTCCTACTCACAATGGTATTGGAAAGGTATATACGGTCCAACAAAGAAGAGTCATGAAGTCACACCTAAAGAGTTCGATCATGTTATGAACACCAATTTTCGTGGTCTGTGGCTGTTTGCACGGGAAGAGCTGAAACATATGTCCAGTCAAGATGTCGGGCTTACTCATGATGGACGTCATGGGTTTAGAGGTTCCATTGTCAATGTTGGAAGTAACCTCGGCCTTGTGGGCAAGCCAGAAACTCGTAGGTATCTGCCATACCTTAACATGCTTATATCGACGGGCTAATGGTTGGGCAGCGGTATATAGCGCCTCGAAAGCAGCGATTATTAGTTTAACGAGAAGTGATGCTATCGATGTGAGTCAGCAATAGACCTCTCTCAGTCTTCCTGTTTAACACACATAGTATGCCAAGAATGATATTCGGGTAAACTGTGTCTGCCCTGGAGTTATTGAGTAAGTTATCTCTTGTCTACCAACCGCCATACTAACCTCGCTAGAACTCCTATGACAGCTGATGTTCCAGAAGATGACCCGGCCGTACAGACTGCTGTTATGAAAAGAAAGGGAACTCCGCAGGAAGTAGCAGATGCCGTTTTGTTCTTATCAAGTCCCAAGGCTTCTTTCATTCAGGGTGCAGCGTTGTCAGTTGATGGCGGTTATACAATTAGTTAGGAATGCTAAAATAGATAATAAGAGCACAATAATGAACTGTATTGGGGTATCAAATTACTGTATAAACACTAAAGACAACTTTTTCCCCTACGTCAACGCCAATCCCTTGCTGGTAATAATTCAAGACGCAGCTGGTGTGCTAGTAGAATTTACCATTTTGCTCTTCTTACGCCTAGGCTTGGGGGCAGTCGCTGATTTGGGTGTTCTCTCCTTGCTCTCCTTCTTATCATCGACCTTTGTGTTGATTGTTGGCGCATTAATACTCCTGATGGGACCATCCGTCTTTGCAATTTGTGGTGGTTTGCGGCCTGTTGTTGTAAGGTGGAACTCTCCTGGGCGACCTGTGATAGGGTTCTCGTCGATGTATTCGCCGCCGTACTTCATGTGAATCATGAAAGACTCTTCTGCAAGTCTTTCCAGAGACTTCTCGTCATCCTTCTGCGCGGCTGCTGTAGGGGCAGTCGGAGCTTTGCTGGCTTCGTCTGATACAGGCATTGGGGTCGCCGCTGCAGAGTTCTGGATCTTTGGCTTTGTTGACGTCTTGGCTGATGGGAGCTGGTAAAAATTACCCACAGAGGGACCCCATTTTCTGACTGACTCAGCAGTTGTCACAGCATTGGTAACTTGTGAAGATATAGTCAACTATAATGGTGAAATTAGAACTGTTCGCGAAACAACTGCTGCAAAGAACATACAATTCTTGCTGAAAGAATGGCACTAAGAGTTGGTGCCATGTAGATATTCTCCCCCACGACAAAGTATGTGGCGTGAACAGTAATCTCATCGTCGTCATATGCCGACTTTCGTCTCGTTTGCTTGCGAATGACCCATACACCTGTACCAGCTCCAGGGCCAGTCTCAGCAGGTTCTTCTACAACCCTGAATTCAAGGCCCGACATGGTGTTGAGATGTGTCTCGAAGGCTTCGCGTGTCTGAATGACTGGATACATCGATGGTACATTCATGGCTTGGTTATATACAACGGCGTTGTTCGACGTGCGCTCGAAGAAGGGCGACTCTGCGAAGTAGAAGAGGATGGTGTTGTTGTGCAGGCCGCCCATCTGCTGAATCGCCATAGGAGAGCGCCATTGGATCTCATCGAGGGGAGGATCGTTTGGATTCGACATTGCGACGATTCGTGGTTATCTTGTTAATATTGTTGGTGTAGGTTTCTTTGTTGTATTTGTTGCTATGGATGGTAATATTCCCTTGGAGTTTAGTTTAAAGGTTCAAGAAACGTATTGAAGCTCAAGCTCTACGGATATTTGTCGTGGGGTTCCGCTTCTAGCGCGTTACAAGGGCGGCCGTGTTCCGCGTCGCGCATCAATTTCAACCTCCAATCTTCAATCTCACAACCCTCTTCGTCCTCATAACAACCGAAAAAACATCCATATATCGACGCCAAAAAGGGGATCTATTCAAGACAAGGCCACCGGCACTAAATACGCCATGGATCTGCTTTCAAGTATCCGCAAGACCGGTTCCAGAGGAGGCGTCAACTTTAGCTGGGATGAAGTCGCAAGCTCTTCCCATCGCGAAAACTATCTCGGTCACAGTCTAAAAGCACCTGTTGGACGCTGGCAAAAAGGACGCGATCTCAACTGGTATGCCAAAGCGGAAGACGACTCTGGAGAACCTAACGAAGATGGTGAGACCGAGGAGGAGCGTCGGGAGAGAGAACGAAAGGAAGAATTGCGCAAAGTCAAGGAGGCTGAGGAGGACGCCATCGCTAAAGCCCTGGGTCTGCCACCCCCTGTGCGGAACTCTTCTGGTGCAAATGCAGTAGAGGTCGATCCCAGTAAACGAAAGGTCGGCCCAGAAAGCGGTCCTGTTGAGGAAACTGGAATCCAAAAGAGTGAGCGCTCAAGACGTCATGATGATACCGAGAGACGAGAACGACGAAGACAGCGAAGTCACGATCGCGATCATGATCGTGAGCGCCGTCATCGACGACACAGGAGGAGTCGAAGTCGCGACCGTGATGGAGGCAGGGAACGAGATGAGGATAGACCAAGGCACAGACACAGAGATAGGGATGGTGATAGGGAAAGTAGGCATGGCCATAGACGTCACCGTGAGGGCCATCTAAGAGGAGGTAATGAGGAAGATGAACGACGACACAGGGATAGGAGCAGGGAGCGCCGCCGATCGAGATCGAGAGATAGACGCAGACGCAGTGCCAGTCCTAGGCGTCATCGTCGAGACTGAAGTCCCAGCTTCTGGTCTTGAACTCAACATCAGTCGAACATAAGATACCCCTTCCAGAGAAAACAAGAAGAAACGCCTAGTCACCATTTGTATTCATCTTACAGTCCAAATCAATGAGTCAATTCTTTGCGGTTCCTATATAAAAGGAAGCTTGCATACTTTTAAAGCTCCCTACCTAACCCAACGCCATACCAAACCACTGTTGTTACACTCATACTATTACTATATTAGGACTGGCTAAGGGGTTGGCCGTCCTTAGCCTTCTGAGCACCATACTTCTCCAATCGGATAGACTGGATAGCAATGAAGCCAGTGCTGTCCATGGGAGAAAAGGTGTCGAGACTGTCCATAGAAGCATCCTCCTGGGAGTAGAGGCTGCTGGTCTCGCTGGATCGTCCAAGGACGTAAACGTTGCCCTTGTACGCACGGAGTCGGACCTGGCCGTTGACACCCTTTTGAGCAGAAACGATAGCCTCGTCGAGCCACTCACGCTCAGGGGAGAAGTACATGCCATTGTAAAGGCACTGGGACCACTCGATAGTCACAAATTGATCTCTGAGCTTGCGGACCTTGGAGTCGAGGACAAGGCCCTCGAGATCGACGTGAGCAAGACGGGCGATGGTGAGACCAGGGGTGTCGTAGCATCCTCGGCTCTTGAGTCCGATCCATCGGTTCTCGACACTGTTTAACTGTAAGCATCGTGTTATGGTACAATCAATGGTGAAAGTGGACGTACATGTCAATTCGACCGACACCGTGGTCGTGACCAATCTTGTTGAGCAGCTTGAACAGCTCTACTGAATCGGTAGCCTCTTGGTCAGGGGTAGCAACCTTAACAGGGAGGCCCTTCTCAAAGTACACGGTGAAGTCGAGAGGCTTGTCGGGAGCCTCAAGAGGATCGACAGTTTGGGTCCAAAGGTCCTTAGGAGGAGTGTGGTCGGGGTCTTCGAGAATGCCAGCCTCATACGAGCAGTGAACGAGGTTCTCGTCCTGGCTCCAAGGAGCCTTGGGGGTCGATGAAACGGGGATGTTGTTCTCGGCGGCGAACTTGAGGAGATCCTGTCGACCCTGGAACTTCTCACAGAACTCGGGGAGTCGCCAGGGGGCGATGACCTTGATGGAAGGGTTGCAAGCCTTGAAGGCGAGCTCGAAACGAACTTGACTGGGGGGTTCTGTTAGTTTCATTGGAATAGAATTTTCAAAATGGAAGTGTCATACTCGTTCTGTGATAGGTTAGCAGGTGGTTCTCAGATTCTTTGAGGGCTTTTACTTACGCCTTTGCCTGTGCAGCCGTGGCTCAAAAGATTGCAGTTGTACTTCTCAGCAACGCGGACCTGGGCGCGAGCGATGACAGGTCGGGCCAGAGCAGTTCCAAGGAGATATCGGTCCTCATAGATGGCATTACACTGAATTGCTCGAAAGACGATCTGCTCGACGAACTCCTTCTGGAGGTTCTCAATGATCATGCGCTCCGCGCCAAGAGCGAGAGCCTTCTTCTCCACGGCATCGAAGTCCTCAACCTGACCAACATCGGCGAGGAAGCACTGAAGAATGTCAGATTGAATCTCGGAAAGGAGAGGGAGATTCACATACCACAACCTCATAGCCCTCGAGAATGAGCCATTTTAGGATTGTGGAGGTATCAAGACCTTGGCTAAATGTTAGCAACAAATCTCACATTTGATCACTCCAGGTGCATGTTAGAGAAAGAGTCAGAAGTATATACCTCCAGAGTAGGCACTGAAATCAAGAGTTAGCAGATGTTTTTAATATCAATGGTCGATCGTCAACGGCAAATAAACTTACAGACAAACACGGCCTTTTGACATAGTGAAGTCGTTTTGTTGTGTGGGGTGTTATTTGGTCAAGGCGAAGAGAAATGGTGATGTTGAGCAGCAAGCTTTGGTGTGTGAAGTTAAGTGTTTGAGTTTGAGCAAATGGGCAGAGCGAAATAACATATATTATATACCTCGAATTTGACTCACTTCCAAAATACTCGTCTTCCGTACAAAAAGCAAAATCTTAACTCGGGCATGCACCCAGCCGTGCCTATCACAAAAAAGTGATTCACTTACAACATTTCGGCCTCCGACTCCGGACTCGACGAAGTATCTACGAAAATCACCCCAGAATTTACCAAGATATAATTCAGTTAAAGGCTTGGCAATTAACCTTGATAGGAAGCGAGTCATAGCTATTTGTTGGGGGAAAAAGAAATCACTATCAAGGGTCCCATTTTGAGCTGCGAATTCGGCAGGCTAAGGCGATTGTTGACTCAATATCGAAAATTCTATGGACGGATCTGAGCACGGCCCTGGTCTAAGTCGACGGGATCCATGGCGGGTAGCGGCGGTGATCCTTTTTTGACAAGGCCCACGACAGCTTATATTCGTTGGAAAATGCCTAGAAATGTATGTAACCCCGATGCACCTAAACTCTCAAGTTTCAACGATGATGAGGGTTCTATCAATCTGGACAAGTCGTCCTGCAAATAGCGTTGCACAAAGCCCTCAGTTTCAGTCAAATCTCCGAGAGACCCTTGATTCTTAAGACAATTAGATCTCCTCCACCAGCAGCATTTTCAGTCCTTTAGAGAGTAATTTTCCTCAGTGACGCCTTAGATCCTCCATGTTCAGGTAATCTGACTTTTGTACAAGGTCCAGTAGTTTACCATAGAAATTATTTGGATGGTGGTGATAATTAGAGCTGAACTTAGCGGCGAGGCTGCCCCATATCACTATATCCTACCAGTGCGACGGTGATGGTGTGAGTCGATATCCATCTTGATTGGCCAGAGACAGTGGACAACGTCACTTTCAGGGACCACCTCCAACAGCCTCGGGGTCTTCGATGGACCACGAGTTTGAGATCATATGAACGATGAAACCGTCTTCATACCTCACCCAGACTTCTGGTTTCTCGACACCATCCCCCTTTGCCACAACGTTTGCTTCCTATTGCGATTCTATCACATTCTCCTATATGCTTGGGGCGAGAAAATCTATCACCGTTTGCCACATCTCACCGTCGTACGTACTTGCTGTCTGCCTTGCTTATACTCCGAGACCACTTCCTTAAGTTCGTTCACAGAAATTATCATAATTAACGAACTATAGATTAACGGTGTCTCTTTCTCTTTTCTGGACATATATCTTTCAAAAACCTGACTCTTCCATCGACACAAGAATGCACGTATAAACCATCACAAGACTACCACGATGGACTATTCGAGACTACGAGCCGCCGCTTTACGCGATGGCGAAGACGAAGAAGCCGTTACCGTCGATACTCGAGCTCTTATCGACAAAGTTCTTGCGCGATACTCGGGCGAATGGACAACATTGCGAGAGCTAATCCAGAATGCTGCGGATGCCCAGGCAAAGACGGTCAGCGTCAAGTGGGAAACTCTACCATCAACACAAGTGCCACTACCGAGTACCACGAACCGATCCGAGATACTGAAACACACCTTGTCAAACCATACTCTACGCCGATTAGTTGTGCAGAATGATGGACAACCTTTCACAAAAACAGACTGGGGAAGACTAAAGCGTATTGCTGAGGGCAACCCCGACGAAACCAAGATCGGTGCCTTCGGTGTCGGTTTCTACAGTGTTTTCGCCGATTGCGAAGAGCCATTCGTCAGTTCCGGTAACGAGGCCATGGCATTCTACTGGAAGGGAAATGCACTTTTCACAAAGAAGTCTCAAATTCCAGCAGATCAAGCCACCCATCATACAACCTTCGTTCTCGACTACAGAAATACAACTACACCCCTCCCGAACCTGTTGTCTGTTAGCCAGTTCCTTGCGACAAGTTTGACCTTTGTTGCGCTTGAGCGCATTGAGTTCTGGATTGATGACTACCAGATTCTTTCTCTGAAGAAAAAATCATCACCGAGTGTTGAGCTTCCTCTTCCCCGAGACCTCGAGGCGAGGACAAAGGATGGCCTAATGAAGGTCACTAGCGTTGATCGCACAAGCACACAGATCGATGCGTCTTACATGGCCGCCATAGGATGGAAACCACAAGCCACAACATCCACCACGAAGAACGAGTCTTATGGTGCCCCTGAAACTCCTTCCTTGAGATCCTTCTTCGCCCGTCTTACATCAAGTGCCTCACAAGCAGGCATTAGGACCAAAGCACAGCACGAGGAGAATGCTGCGCAAGTGGTGATTTCCGAAGATGTGACTAAGCTTTCATCCTCCACGATCTTCCTTCGGGCGACTTCTGCAAGCATCCGTACAAGCGTAGCCTCGTCCTTTGCTTCCGAACTTGAAAGAGCGACAAAGAAACCCCCGCCCAAAACAACCAAGATTGCCATCCTAACTTCGTCGTATGATGAGACTCAAGCGTCGCAAGAGGCCGCAACTTCGGGGGCGCTCGGCAAAGCTACAGATGTTTTTGCATCTGTGCTTCCCAATAAAAAGCCGGGCGGCCGTATCTTTATTGGCTTTCCCACCATGCAGACTACCGGAGCTGGACTCCATATTTCAGCACCATCAGTGATTCCCACTGTGGAAAGAGAGGCCATCGACTTGAATGCTCGCTGGGTCAGGACATGGAACCTTGAGATCCTTCGTGCTGCTGGTATCATTACTCGACTGGCCTTTGCCAACGAGATGAGCGACCTGAGTACTCGGATCAAACAGGTTATGGCCAAGGAGACCAAATTCTCTCCCGCAGTTATCGCCAAGTTCATGCCAGAGGCTCTTCACATCCTCAAGACCTTCACCTTTGATGACTCAACCCCCAGCAGTCAAGTTGGTCAGATTATTGAGGAAGCCTTTTGGATGTGCTTTAAGAAGGCCTCAATCGAGACCTACTCAACACGAGGCGTGTTGCAGACAGTAGATGTGCGCATTGCTTCCGATGAGATGAGTAAATTCGTCAACAGCATCCCTGTTGTACCTGAGGAGATGAAGGGTGTTCCATTTGTGAAAAAGCTCATAGACTTCGGTCTTATTTCACACATCACAGTCACAGATGTGAAGAAGGAGCTGGAGACAAAGGCTATGAACAAAGTCCAATTGATGAACTTCATCAGTTGGGCGGGTAAGAAGAGCTTGAGTGGTGAGCTCGATCCCGGCAGTCGATTGGCTTTGCTTGAAGTAGCTGTTGGTACGATGAGTGATGATGGAGAACAGGGCGAGATAATTGCCCTTGGTAGCATTCGGAATCATCTCATCGCGAACAGGATTCCTGCAAACTTGCCCATCCCTCCTACAACAATCCCTCATGCGCTCACTGCCAATTCTCAGCAGGCTGAGTTGCGTGCTTTAGGATGGGAGCCGTTAGAAATTCTCCCCTGGTTGAGATTCCTTTTGGACACAAACTCTTCTAGGTCCGAGGAACAGAACTTGACTCAGTCATCCAAGTTTGCCATTCAGGTTTTGACTGTTCTCTCGAAGAACTTTGAAAATTCGAGCCCGAACGCAAGGACTACCATTGTGTCTCTTCTTCAGGCAAACACAGTTGTACCTACGAAGCAGGGCATGAGAAAGCCCACTGAGTCCTTCTTCCCGATTGTCAAGCTTTTCGACGACCTTCCTGTCATTCAAGGTTGCGAGAAGATCAAGGAGAAATTTCTGGTCACCATTGGCGTCCGCAAAACAGTTGATCTCGAGACCATCTTCACCAGACTGTTGAACGCCTCTAGCGAAGGGCATCAGAAATGGAGTCACATCGAACTTATCAAATATTTGGCATCTGTCCGCGAGGATATCCCTGGTGAAGACCTGAGCAAGCTGAAGCAGACACGCTTTTGCCCAGCCGAAGCTGGTCCAAAGGGTATGGAGTCAACCAAGGGAACGAAAACGCTTCACAAGGTTTCGGAGCTATTTGAGCCTAAGGACTCTTTGCGTGCTTTGCAATTACCTATCATCCAGTGGCCAGGGCCTCCTGGTAGCTATCGACCTGCAAGTCCAGAGGCTAGATTCATAAATTCTCTTGGACTCCGGCCTTACCCATCTGTCCCTGAGCTCGTTGAGCTAATGTCTGGCAAGGATGAAAGTCTTCGAGTTTCGTCCATGACATATTTCCTCGCCAACCACCAGATCAACGGATATGGGTCATTCCAGCTTGGTGGCAGTCTTAAGGCAATCATGCCTCTTCAGGGCAGTACCCGTCTTGTACCGCCTTCGCAGTGCTTTTACAATCCGCGAGCGTCTATCCTCGGTTTTAACATCCTGAGGAGAGATCTACACGACCATGCTATCGTAGGTTTAATCTAAAACTTGACAAAAACTCAGCTAATATCTATAGAAATTCGGTGTTTCAAGAGATCCACCAATGGTGGACTGTGTGAATCGCCTTTTGGCATCGCCTCCTCAAGATCATCAGAATGCTGTAGCACTTTTCAGCTATTTTGCCTCTCGAATCACAGAACTCGGCGAGAATAACCTGGTCAAATTGCGCAACGCCTCGATAGTTCCTATTACAAGGACTACTCGATCGTCTGAGAAACCGACCTCTTCTATGACGCATGTCAGTCCTTCTCGGGTGTACCTTGGGGCTTCGACTACATATGGAGATATCTTCGACTTTGTCGATTTTGGCCCTGAGGCGAATGCATTCTTGTTCCAATGTGGTGCCAAAAGTGAGCCCACCAAGTTGGAGGTTGCGCAAATGGCATGCAGTGAACCAGCCCGTCTCCTTGGTGTTTTACAGAGTTCGGAGAAGTACCTGGATCTTCTGAAGTCCTTAGCGGAAGCATCCCCGATACTCCACCGAGATAAAGAATTGTGGAGGAAAATGCGTACTGCACCCTTCCTTCTTGCGTACAAAGAACTCGCGCCCCCCAAGGGGAAGTCAGACGACCTAGAGGAAGAGGACGAACCCATTCGACAGTACCAGCTCGCCTCTGCTAGCCAAATAGTGATCCTGGATGATATCATCAGCTACAGATTGTTCAAGGATCGCCTTATTTGTGCACCGGAAGAGGATGCGCTTGAGGATTTCTATCTGGCACTTGGTGCTCAGAAATTGAGCAGTATTGTCCAGGAGGAGGTTAGAATTGGGCCTCATAGTGACAAACAAAAGGCTGCTCTCAGTCTCCGCAAACATGTTGTCGAGAGATCAAAGATCTTTCTTTTTGAATACACAAACTATCGACGTGATGCTATCAAGCATGACGTAAAATGGCTGGACAAGAACCTTACGGTCCACATTGTTCGCTCAGTGGCTTTGAGAAGATCTCTCAAGGGCCAGTATCAGACTCATACGGAGAAGCGATCAGCTGCGAGTGAAAAAACCAGCAACGGCTGGGTTCTTTATGTTTCTGATGAGTCGAAGCCTGATATGTACCAGATCGGTCAAGCCATCTGCCAAATGCTGCTAAACCGCCCAAATCAGCAGGCTTACCTCTTCTTTGAGCCATTCCTCACACTCGATCTTTACGGTTTGAGGAATCGCGGTTACAATGTCGATCGTATTCTTCGAGCCAAGGCTGCCGAGGCTAGAATTGCTGAGGAAGAGAGACGAAAGGCACTGGAAGAGGAGCAGCGCCAGATCAAAGAGAGAGAAGAGCAATGGGGAGCTGAGGCAAAAGCTGCTGAGGCTGCACGCGAAGCTACTAGGATCCCAGAACCTCTTGGCCCCATGATGCCAGGTTCCTGGGACTCGCCTGAGGAAACAAAGCGCTCTCCTGAACAGCAGGCTAGGAAGAGCAGGGGACTGTTCTCAAACATCAGTCGTCGACTTGGATTTGAGTCTGACCAGCATGAAGACGAATCTCACAGGGAGATGAACAAGTTCTTGGATAGACCTAAGGAGATTGAGGCACCTGGCGGGAGCTCATCCAACACCGGGCAGAAGCCGCAACAGGATGAGGGCAGAGTCACAAGCCCTGCACTGGTGCAGCAGAACTTGCTTAATGCCATCAAATCAACCCGGGCTTACGGATCTGATAGCGTCTTTTCGGAGCCCAAGGTCAACGAGGTCAAGGAACAAGCCACTTACTGTGACAAAACCCCAGCACAGAACATCACTTTCATTGCAGAGACGTCAAATGGTATGAAGGTATTCTTCTCCAAGGATATTCAAGACCCTGGAAGTTTCTTGTCAAAGCATCTGAACAACCTGAACGTCTTCTCCAGTATGTTAGTTGAGGTTGGCAATACATACTCTATGTCACCCAAGGTCCTGCATATCTTTTATGATGAGGCTGGCGGCACTATTGCTTTCAATACTGGAGGCAGTATCTTCTGTAACTTCAGGTTCTTCTTGCAGTTGCACGCCGCGCAAATTGAAGGAAGAAGTGGACAAGCCAAGGCAGAGGCTGGTACTTGGTGGTGGGTGGTTCTGGCACATGAACTTGCACACAATCTCGTGTCGCTTCACAATGCTGATCACAGCTACTATACGTAAGTTTACCCCGTCTCACTTAATATCATACTAACAATCCTAGTGAATCGTTTATCCAGCAGTATTTCCCCAAAATCGTGGCCAAGGCGGTACAATGGACTGCAAATGCTGGGTCTCGCAGCGAGACACCCTTGATTGCACCACCTCCATCTGGTGCACCACCACCTTACCCTGGTCAATTTGGACGAAGCTTGCTAGACTGATGAGTGTTTTATCATGGCATAGCGGGGAGTTTTGTGACGTTTGGCTTCTTAGGATATCACCTCTCTTGTTGTTCTGATGGTTGGGACTGTAATTAATACACTAGACTTTAAGTAGACTCTAGATTCTTTAAATATTATATACGGGGTCTGATTCACACACCTTACGGTTTCTGTCTCGCAACAACGATGCAAGTTGTGAAGTATTTGCAGTAAGATGGTTCATCACAATGTTATCTGCAGGTGGGATTTAGAGACTTAGCTTTATGCACATACTCTGCCCACACTGATACTTTCGGTTAATAATGATCAAAAGAAAATCATTGATAATCTATCCTAAGACCTTTGACTATTATTCCTAAATGGCCTGAACTCTATTGAATACCAAACAAGATGTAAGTTGATATGGTACAGGGTAGCTGACTGATGAGAGTTCACGTGATCACAATCGTGACCAATCAATTCGACTCCAATTGCAGTGAGCTTGGCCCGACGGATCTTGAAGATCACGACCTCACCTCTCGGTAACGAACGAAGTCAACGCTCGCCTTCGCACTCCGAGCGAACCTCACCTCCACGAAACCTCTCCACTCTCGAAGTTCGATTACCCGACGGTCAATTGCCCAACATGGTCCACCGCATCGCCTTCTGGAGCCTTTTCGGTACGTCACAGACCTGAGCCAATTCACCCGCCCATGGCATCCGAGCATACGATATGGGCAATTGAAGACGAGACACATGCGACGGACAGAGAGAATTGGATACTAACAGTATAATAAAGGCCTCGGCGCCCGATTCTGGCAAATGGGCATCGAGATGCGCCCATTCTTCAACAAGTCCTCCCTCTGGGTGTACCCCGTATATGCGGCCGGCGGTGCCAGCTTCGGATACTGGTTGCAGGGCGTCGACGACAGACAAACCTCTACTCTACAAGAACGAAAGGCTCTGCTCCTCGAGAAGCGAGCGCGCAAGGCAGAGCGGGATGCTCAGGCGGAGGCTTAGAGGGGAATGAACAGGAATGGAAATTTAAGATATCGGGAAATTAAGACCTCCTCGGCTTGAGAAAAAAAGACTGAAGGGGCAAGATTATTGTACATTTGTGATATTGGGAGGTTGAGCGTCGAAATGGGACGTTTGATTCGAATCAAATACGCTAAAGCTCTGAACGCCGTGATGATATGATGTCCAGAACACCGAGCACCAATTGCTTCACGGAACTTGATATTGATCACCAGATTGAACTCATGCCATGTTACATCACACACACTAAACTAAAAATTTATTGTCATTGCTTCATGGAGCTGCTTCCAATTCAAGCACCAGCCAAGACCGAGTTAACAAGAATGACAACTCAAGACGCCGCGTCATCTATCATCCCTGATAATCTTTCCACGTTCCTTTAACCCCCAATCAAAGTCTGATTACAACTCCTCTAGTTTTCTTAGAATCGCGGGCACAGACGTGGCAGAGGAATTGCCCAGCTCCGTCACAACCACTGAAATATACTTATCGCGTGTAGTGTCAAACAGCAAGCGGAAACCAACATCGGTGGATCGCTCAGGGTCGATCTCGTTGTATGTGAGGGAATCGATGGACACACGCTCTGTGAAATTGACCGTCTCGCAGAGTGCCACAACGCGGACGTTCAGATCAGTAGCTGCCGTGGCGATGTCGCATGAGCCAGCGCGGGCGTACATGGCACCGTTGCTGAAGATGGCTTCGGCTGCGAGAAAAGTTTTAGTTGCCTCGTAGAGGTGTGTTCGTAGAGCACCAAGGTCGGAAGCATATGTGACTTGGATACCAGCGGCGGAGAGCCTTTTCGCGAGATCGATGCCGACGCGCTCATAAGGGTCATCGACAAGGATCACGCGGAAGTCCGTCTTGTTCTTGCGAGCCTGGAGAAGGGTGCGCTCAACGAGGTGGTGATGAGCGTAGGTGAGGACAACATCGCCATCTCCAATCATGTTGGCAGCTGTCTCGACAATCACGTAGTCAGCGAGAGTGATACGCTCACGAATGTAGTTGTCGATGGACTCCTGGAGGAGCTTCTTCACGTCGTTGTCGTGAAGATCCACATCCACTTTACTGATCTGGAGCTTCAGCCACCGGATGGCGTTACCCATTGAGAAGCACATGGGGCGGCATGCTGTGAGGTACTCGATCTGGGGGTTAAGAACGTGAGGTGTGAAATGGCGGGAGAAAGTGAAGCCGGGAGGAGTTGTGTAAGAGTCGATGACCTAAGCTGTTAGCCCGATACTGCGATACAGGTATATAATTTCTCACCTTCTTGAAAGCATACAGAGTCGCCTCGAGTCGTGTGACACTATCACTGATAGCGAATGCGCTCATGTGCTCGCCGAGAACCAAGACAGCAGGATGGACGTCCTTGTCGGCATGGGTCATTTCTATCCGTCTGGCGATAGAGAGGTGGCTAAAACAGTCTGGTATCGAAGGCTTGTCGTCCTTAACTACAGCCGTCGCCGCCGCTGGTCGAATAGGGAGTTTTGCGCCGCCATGTTGCTGGTGCTGATGTTGTCCGTCCTGCTTAGGCTTTGCTTTGCCTCCCTTCCCATCACCGGACGCCTGTTGTCCGCCTTGCGATGGGCCCTGTGAAGTCTGCGAAGCCTTGGCTTGTGCTCTTCTGGCAGCCTTTTCCTCCTTGGCCTTCTTCTTTAATTCAGCGCCGGATAACTTCTTCTCGCCAGCGGGGGCTGCTTGTTGCTGCTCTTTGGGCTTCTGAGGTTGGGTCTGCTCCTTCTTTTCCGTCTTAACATCGTTATTCTCTGTGGTCTGCGGCGCAGGGATCGAGCCCTCGGCTTCTGCGGACATTGGAACTGGTTCGAGCGATCGTTTGTGGTGATATCGAGAATGTGGTTATCCGAGGGCGGGGCACTGAGATCGAGACAAGAGTGTGCGCTGTGATACAACTTCCGTAGAAGATTCGCTATGGGATTCTCGATGCAATACTCGGGTGATGCACTGGGAAATATTCGTTATTTTTGTAAAAAAAAAAAAGGTACAGTAAAGGTACTGTTTGTAGCGAGAGACACTCAAATGGAGGCTTTGAGTCATTCGAAAATAATGATTTGGACCGGCATTTGGATGGAGAAATCCAATCAGTGATCAAATGCCCCGCGCTAGCCAAACCTCGAGAGACGTGGGTGTGGCAGTCCAGCAGAGCCTCTAGATTACTACATAGAATGTCACTCACTATAAGGTGGTTGCAGAATATAAGTCCATTATGTATAGATAATGAAGCTATTCAATTTGGTATCATGCTGTATTTGATAATCCTCATGTCGTTTCGGAACACCATATCCATTTTCGGTCGCACGCACAACAGTGTTCACGTCGTGGCGCATTTTGGCATCACGACTCGTTGGAGGAAAATCTTGAGAATCAAACGGTGCAGCACTACTTAGAATCGCTCAGGTTGTCGTAGAGATCTGGCACGAGGGCACTGTCACTTTCGGCAGACCAGTTTCACAGTTGACATGAGAACCCACCGCATTTTACTTTAAGCACACTATCGTTCACAGCATTTACTCCGAACATCAACTTCCTTCTTCACGGCAGTCCATCAAGGCCTGGTCGCAATGAAAGAAAATAAAGAGTTCCAAAAATTCCCTTGCCAGGCGAACCCAACAAGGAGCGGTCAGTGTATAGTTTTCAACTAGCAAAATTCCTCTCTCAGCTTATCGCTTCACGGAGAAGGAAAACGCCCATGCACTTGGATGGAGAGGAAAGGAGAAAAGAAGACTGAAAGAGAGGGAGGAAGTCGGGGTTTTATAGCTGAGAGAGATCACTCGCGCACGGGCCACTTTGGTAGATTACCTAAGGCATCAAGGCCAATCTGAGCGTGAATCACAGAAGGTGGAGCTCTAATTTCCAGGCACCAGCGAAGGTTCCACTGTCGGCAGGCAGGTACAGAGGCAGCAGCAGCTTATTTTCCAGCCTAGCGGGCAGGCACACGACACCAATCGACCGGCTGTGACTTCAGTAAGGTATTGGATGAAATAAGAAAAAGGTTTGAGCACTGTTTGACCTCACTGCTCTTTCTTGCTGTCTTTCTGCACCTTCAAGATGAGCTCCGAATCTTGAGTCGATCATCAACGATAACCCCCCAGAAGCGCATTTCGCGAAGCATATCCGATACGAACTTCCGCATACCTGATGTTATTCGCCAAGCCTTGGTCGTAGTTGTTCAGTTGCGTAAACCTTTTGGAATGAGATTGGCAGTCATCGCTTTGAATTTGTTCATGTGAACATGCAGTTTCGTTTCGTTGCCCATGTAGAGTTCCAGGTTGACTCACTTACTCGCCAACGAACATGAGCTCTCTCTGCCTAAGGTACCTAGAGTCGTCTAGACTTTCCTAAACTTATCATTTGCCCGTGGCGACACTTATGAATCTTAAACGATGTAAGTTTAGTAGTCTCCAAGAGGACCTACGATGAAGGTAGATGTTTCGATTGTACACAAAGCTTCATAGTAGATGTCCTGTGAGAACAACGAACTCATACTTGCCATTGGATGTTAATTCTAAGAACCTTTCACTTAATACAAGTTCTATTGCTTCGTCCGATCCACGATACGAGAAGATTCCTTATTGACTTTTTTATACACTCTGTTGGTGGCTGATTGCCTGGCATACTGATATAACTCATCAGTAGGCTCGCGTCAGTCAGGACTGTCTCTTCAGGAGCCAAGGATAATGAGATTTTACATGACCTGACTTCTTGCAATATCCTACTTCGTCATTAATTTGATATATGAAAACTTAAGAAGGAAGGAATTAATTAATTGAAGAAATGCTCATCAATGAGTCAATCGAGTCTTTTGGTCACTCCCAGCCACTGATCGCTGCGATACCGCACTAGGTAGCTTACAGTTCTATGTCAAACGCCCAGCGAAAATTCCCATCAACTACAGCATCAACAATACAATCCTCAGTCGCAAAGATGATGAAGAAATTCGCTCGCGCCTACTCTTCGGCGTCAGCCACTCTTGGCTCAAACCCTGTCCCTCCCTCGAAGATTCAATACATTCCCACTTCAGGAAAATACCCCAAAGGCTTTATCGCTTCAGGCGTTTTGGCTGGTGTCAAACCTGGCAATACCAGCAAGCCCGACATCGCCCTTGTTACTTCTGACCGTCCCTGCGCCGCTGCTGGTGTCTTTACAAAGAACAAGTTTCAGGCTGCTCCCGTGACTTATAGCAGGAAACTTTTGCAGCAGAAGAAGAACGCGGGTCTTCGAAGTGTGGTTGTCAATTCGGGTAATGCAAATGCTGTCACCGGCACCGGAGGTCTTGAAGATGCTACCAGTATGGCCCGCACGACAGATCAGAGGGTTGGTGATGAGGACTCTACTATTGTTATGAGTACTGGGGTCATTGGTCAGAGGTTTGTTTCTTCAATTGGCTGAATTCGATGCTTCAGTGGCTCACAACTAATCCAGGCTGCCTATTCAGAAGATTCTCGACAAGATCCCTACAGCTGTTAGCAAGGCTGGTGGTTCTCATGAGAGCTGGCTTGAATGTGCAAAGGCTATCTGTACCACAGATACTTTCCCTAAGCTCATGTCTCGATCCTTTGAGCTTCCTTCTTCTCCTGGTGTTGAGTATCGCATTGCTGGTATGACAAAGGGTGCAGGCATGATTGCCCCCAATATGGCGACTCTTCTCACCATCCTGGCCACTGATGCTCCTATCTCTCCCGCTGTCATGCCCAATGTTCTTCGACATGCCGTGGACCGTTCATTCAACTCCATCACCATTGACGGTGACACTTCTACCAACGATACTGTTGCTCTTCTTGCTAACGGTGCCGCTGGCGGAAAGGAGGTTACTTCTGAGCAGTCTCTCGACTACCAAGCCTTCCAAGAGCTCCTTACTGAGTTCTCTGTTGACTTGGCCAAGTATGTCGTCCGAGACGGTGAGGGTGCCACAAAATTTGTTACCATCCGCGTCGTCGACAGTGCCTCTGAGGAGGCAGCCCGTGAGATTGGTCGATCCATCGCCAAATCTCCCCTCGTTAAGACTGCCCTCTACGGAAAAGATGCCAACTGGGGCCGTGTCCTTTGCGCCACCGGTTATGCTCTCATTTCTCCCCCTGGTCAACCCGTGAATGACGTCCCTGAGATTACTCCCGAACGCACCAATGTCTCCTTCGTCCCTACCGATGGCTCAGCTGAGCTGAAGCTCCTCGTGGATGGCGAGCCCGAGCAGGTCGACGAGAAGCGAGCGTCGGAGATCTTGGCCATGGAAGATCTTGAGATCGTTGTCAGGTTAGGCACAGGCGACAAGTCTGCTGTGCACTATACCTGTGACTTCAGCCATGATTATGTCACTATCAATGGCGACTATCGAACTTGAGGGTTACCAAGAACGAGTGTATGATCTTATCAAAAATATAGCCTGGATTATATGTCTGCATGAGCCGACCTGTTAAACTTGATCTAATTTGCAAATATCTTGTCTGAAGGCGTAGCGGATGCGGTATGCAGAGTCTTGAGCAGGCATGTTAGGCAACGCATTGTAAAACTCTTCAAAAGCCTGCTATATGACATACATTATATATTCACTTATATCTCAAAGTCTGATTCCTGCATCCCTATCAATGGCAGGTCTAGTTCTAACCAAAACCAAGCATTTATCCGGAACTCCTAAGCGACCATTCCCTTACGCACTCAGAGTACCCTTGGTGCTAGGCACCTCACCCTCCTTACCGGGTATCCTGGTGGTAGCAGCCTTGATAGCAACAGCAAGAGCCTTGAAAGCACTCTCAGCTCGATGGTGGTCGTTGTCACCATGAAGGCAGTGAACATGGAGCGTAACACGAGCACCCTGGGCAAAGCTCTGGAGACAGTGAGGAACCATCTCGGTGCTGAGCTGACCAAGCCACTCTCGCTTTAGGCCGAGGTCGACAACACTGTAGGGACGGTTGGAGAGATCGATGACAGCGCGGGAGAGGGCCTCGTCGAGGGGAGCGTAGGCGTAGCCAAAACGGGCGAGACCAACGGGAGTACCGAGAGCCTGGGCGAAGGCATAACCAAGGGCGATGCAGACATCTTCGGCGGTGTGGTGGTCATCAACTAGAGGTTTCAAGTCAGTCATTTAACATCCCTCGGTGGCGGATGAAGGGCAACAAACTGTGAAGATCACCCTTGCAGTTCAGAGCAAGACTCCATCCAGCATGCTTAGCTAAAGCATGAAGCATATGGTCAAGGAAACCAATTCCCGTGTTGACAGCAATCTTCTGCGACTTGCTAGCCTGAGAAGCATGGCTATCTCCATCGTTGAGAAGACGGGAGTCGGTGTCCGGAGGGAAATCGCCGCCGTCAAGGTTAAGAGCAAGCTGAATCTTGGTCTCGTTCGTATCACGGGCGAGAGCAGCCCATCGAGTAGGTTGAGAAGAAGCCATTTCTGCGAGTCAATTGGTAGAGTTGTACAATTGAATGTTTCTCAGGTAGTTGTGAACTTTTAAAACTTGACTGTATGACGGGCTCCTGTATCGGCGAGTGCCAAATTGATGGCTTCTGATACGCTACAAATTCAACCCCGCCAACTTTTTTATTGCCTCCAACAGAGGCAGTGGTCGCTATTAGCTACCCCGCCGTGGCTGGAGACACACCCGCTGTGGCTTCTTACTACGCAGAGTGCCCTTAACGCGCTAGGCTCTAGTGGAGGCGCGAACAACGGCCGGGCTTGCGGTGAGATTAGATTCATTGTTGACTTTTGGTGGGATGTTGATTGACGTTATTCCAAAACAAACCACCTCCATTGTCAAGGCCAAGCCCGTATCGCAACACGCCAAACCACACATAAAGCGAATACGTGACGATTGGGCTCAGTACTCAATGTACTTCGAATAAAATAGGAATGGAAAATTTCTTGAGGGAATGGAGGCAAGATGCCCTCAACAAGGCGCAATACGAATCGGCTATCTTTATCGGTGACAAGCTGCTTGCGTTGACCAGTTCGTGATATACTGTGATACAAACAACCTCTCCAATTGTCTAACAATATAACTCGATAGATGACGATCAAGATGCCTTCTGGCTCGCCCAAGTCCACTTCGCGACAGGAAACTACACACGCGCCCAAGCATTTCTCTCCGGCCAAGACCTCATCGCTCGAAACCCATCATGTCGCTATCTCGCCGGCCACTGCCTTATAAAACAGTCTCGCTTCGACGAAGCCCTTTCGATTCTCGGCGATCGTAACCCAACGCATCTCATTGCCAATGGCGCGAGTAACAAGCGCAAGACTCAGCCACGCCATGGACGACGTCGCGATCCAGCTGCTGAGGAGGAGGCTGCGAATAGGAGATATGAAGCAGCTATGTGCTTCCTGCGTGGTATCTGCTACGCTAAACAGAATGCTTTTGATCGCGCAAAGGAGTGTTACAAAGATGCTGTGCGAATCGATGTCCAGTGCTTTGAGGCGTTCCAGCAGCTTATGAACAATTCGCTATTGTCGCCTGACGAAGAGTGGCAGCTCCTCGAGAGTTTGGACTTTGACTCCATTCATGTCTCTGGAGATGTGTCGTCTTCACAGCAGGCTGCCGACTTTACAAAGATGCTCTACACGACACGACTGTCCAAATACCGTAATCCTGCAGCTTTTGAGACAGCATACGACTCTCTTTCGACACATTACCACCTTGCATCAAATCCGGACCTACAGCTTGCTCGTGCGGATCTTCTCTATACGCAGTGTCGGTACCGGGATGCTCTGAATATCACAAATGGGATCCTACAGGAGGACAAGTACAACTTCAGAGTGTACCCGGTCCATCTGGCCTGTTTGTTTGAGCTGAAGGAGAAGAATCTACTTTTCTTGATTGCCCATGACCTAGCCGATAGTCACCCCGAAGAGCCATGCTCATGGCTCGCAGTTGGTATTTACTACTTTTCGATCGGCAAAATCCCCGAGGCGCGACGATATTTCAGCAAAGCGAGTATGATGGACGCGCATTTTGGACCGGCATGGATTGGATTTGCACACACTTTTGCGGCAGAGGGCGAACACGACCAGGCAATTTCGGCGTATTCAACAGCAGCGAGATTGTTCATGGGGACACATTTACCTCAGGTGTTTTTGGGCATGCAAAATCATGCTCTCAACAATATGACACTTGCGGAGGAGTTTTTGAAAACAGCCTATGGACTTTGCAAAACAGATCCCTTACTCTTGAACGAAATGGGTATCGTTAAATATCACCAAGACAAACCCAAGGAGGCAGCACAGTACTTTACAGCAGCGCTTAAGATCGCTGATGATATGGATAGCGACCCTTCAGCTTGGTTGGCTGCGAGGACAAATCTTGGTCACGCTTTCAGACGGTTGAGACACTTTAACCGAGCCCTCGCCGAGTTTGATGAGGTGCTAAGACAGGGAGGCAAGGATGCGGCCATTTTCAGCGCGAAAGGGCTTATACTCATGGAACAAAGCAAGCCTGAGGAAGCAGTGACCGTTCTTCACGAAGCGCTGGCGATTAACCCACAGGACAGTATCGCAACAGAGTTGTTGAACAAAGCGCTGGAAGAGACGGCATTGATTGATGGTGCGGCAGAGTCTGAAGCTGAGGATCTCTTGGACTTTGAGCGTACGTTGGGACAACGGAAGCATGAAGCAGCTGTCAAAGTGAACGGGGGTCGAAAAACAGCGGGGAGAACAGAGAAGGGTAAAGGAAGATTGAGACGAACAAGGCGAATGACGGTTTTGGAGGATGAGGACGGTTCGCCCGAGAAGGAGGATAGCATGATGGAGATGAGCGGTGATGAATAAGGATACCAGAGAGCAGACTCAGAAGACATAGCAAGCATAGCATTGGGATGGGGAGATTTTCATATGATTGGGATAGGTCTAGGCGTTGGTGGTATGATACGCATTAGGGAATACGACATGGTTTGACTTGGTGTATATGCATACTCTGTCTCCTTTGTATGAGAAGCGATAATGTATGATGTTTTGTATATGATATCACTAATCAATTAGTATTAAATCGTTATCTCGCACTCGGATCTCGCATAATATCCGTAAAATAAGCTCTGGTGGAGTAACCGGCACGTTAATCCATCCGGGCCGTCGCATCGGGGAACCAATAATGGTGTGCTTATTCAATCAAATCCCTGAAGCAATCGTGGTCAATGGAATACGGAGCTGAAAGAAGAGCGAGTGTTTTTGGTGTCTGAAAGTAGAAGTGGCTTGATGATATGACGCGGCGTGTAATGTATATAAGAACACAATATGTCAGCTTATACAATATCCAATGTCCTTGCTCTTAACTTGGTATTATAAACAAATACAACAAATACAACAAATAAAATGTCACGATTCTTTCCTCATCCTCCCTATGCAGAGGATCAGCCTCTTGCACGCACAATCCTCACAACTCACGTTATCGTCCGAGCGATAACACTAAGCTCAATCATCGCAACGGGCATCACAACAACACGCCACTTCGTCCCCTTTCTTCGCCCAAAGACTCCAGCTTTAACATTCTTCCCACGTCTCATCCGCTCTGCATCAACAGGAGCAGTAGCAGCGGTTGGCGTAGGAGCTCTCATGACAATCAGCCGTATGCGTGGAAGAGAAGAAGTCGAGTGGCAGGATCGAAGTTGGAGATTACTCGAGAATCAGGGTCAGCTTGAGACTGATGATTGGACTGCTATAGGCGCTGGAGCTGGGGCTTTGATAGGGGCCAATGTTCTCAAGGGTTGGAGAGGCGCAGTTGGAGGAGTGGGTTTGGGAACTATGGGGGGAGCGTTGGCATGGATGGCTTGGAGATTTGGTGTGAATGGGGGCAAGTTTCCCAAGAAGGAGAAGGATTTGTAAATTGTATTGTCTTTGTATACCCTGTATTTCTCTAGTATCTCTACAACTTTGCTTTAACCTGCTCAACCTCTTCAATCTTCTGGAACTGATAAAAAAAGTCCAAACTCTGAGGATTCAACAATGTCCCACTTGGCTTGATATTACTGCCCGAGATGATCTGCTTGACTGGAAGCTCGACCTTTTTACCATTCACAGTTGTCTAAACATCATTAGTTTACTGGATATCATCAGTTGTGAGAGTAAACACTTACCGGAATGTCGGGCACCTCAAAGATATACTTGGGCACATGCCGCTTCGTCAACTCCTTGGCGATCCTCTCTCGGATCTTGCCAGCGAGTTCAGCGTTGAACTTGACTCCTGGTTTCATCAACAGGAATAGAACAACGCTCTCATCATGGTCTTGGGGACGACGTTGGCCTACGCAGAGACTCTCTGCAACCTCCTTTGCAAAGCTTCCCTCAAGCACAGCGTAGATGTCTGCACTACCAAATCGAATACCGCTTGGATTCAAAACTCCATCTGAACGGCCGAGAATGTGAATATGACCTGTTTGTGGGTGAACTGCTGCAAAGTCGCCTTGTGACCACACATTAGGGAATCGATCGAAGTATGCTGAAGTGTATTTCTTTCCTGGGGCGGGGTTTGTATCGTTCCAGAGATAGAGAGGCACGTTAGGGAATGCCGCAGTTCCTACTAAATCTCCTGGTTCACCATCAGGGACTGGTGAGATCGGCTTGTTAAGGTCCGGAGAAGATGGATAAATTGCCATGGGTGTTCCAATAACTCGTCCTGGGCATCCGCCGGCGTAGATGGGAGATAGAGGATTCTCCATGACAAAGCAGGCGGCCTTGGTAAAGTCAGTAATGTTAGGAAGAGATCGAAAAGTAGACTCACAATATCGGTACCGCCTGAAAAGTTGGCCAACTTGATATTCGTTGGAAACGCCCCATCATAGAACCAGTCAAAGACCTGCTCCTTCAATACCATTCCCGTACTCTGGACAGCTGTAAGACTACTCAAATCTGCCTCTTTCTGAGGGACTATCCCCTCTTTCATAAGTTCACCTAACCATCTGGGACTAATACCCAGATTCGTAACACGTTGCTCCTCCACAATCCTCAACAACACAGAACGATCTGGTACAAAAGGCGAACCATCGTAAAACACAGTTCGTCCACCAAAAGCAAGTCTAGTAACACTCGCAAGATACATGATCCAGCCCGTAGTAGTATACTGAAGCGCAACATCCCTGGGAGTAATTTCACGATGGAGAATAGCCTCTTTAGCCACTGAAACGAGAATTGGACCAACGCCATGGACGATGGCCTTTGGTGTTCCTGTTGTTCCGGAGGAATAGTAGACTACCATTGGATCTTGAAACCCGACTCTTTCGATGGGCGGTGGACTTGAAGATGCGGATGAGAGAAAAGACTCGAGACGTTGTGTCTTGGGGATTTGAGATGTATCGTGAGGAGAGTCGAAGCGTTGAACGATGATTGCACCTTGGAAGGAAGGACATTCTTTCATTCCTTCGACGACACCCTTGATCTTATCGCGGAGATCCATGACTTTGCCATTATAGAGAGCTCCATCGTCGAAGAAGACAAACTATTCAGGTCAGTATCGTTATAAGTTTGGTGGTATAAAGGGCACTCACTTTGGGGTCAATCTGAACAGTCCTCTGCAACAACCCTCCAACGCCCATATCAGTCGAGCTACTACTAAATAGCCCCCCAAGCCAAGTCGTAGCAAGAAACACTACAAGTGTCTCAACAGCATGGGCACCAACCATAACAACTCTATCTCCCTTCTTAACACCTCTCTGCTTCAACGCACTCGCCAACTTTCCCACTCTTCTCCTCAACTCTCCCCAAGTAACATTATTCACAGAGGAATCACCCTCTCTGACTTCTGTGATGGCGATAGTATCATCTTCTTTGTGAAGTGTTGAGCGCTCGCCTGGTGCTCCGCCCATAACACCTGTCCAGAGGAGATTCTCGGCGTAGTTGATGCGAATACCAGGGAACCAGGCGGGGAGTCTTGTGATTGGGATTGATTCGTCTACGACGTATGAATAAGAACCTTCGTGGATCCAGTTTTGAGAGGCCCAGAGTTGAGCGTAGAAGTCGCTGCGCTTAAAGACGGACCATTCATATAAGTCATTGAATGTCTAAGACGAGTTAGTTATTTGTACCATGGTTCTTTCACGTTCGAATCCATATCATGCCTTGAGATTAAGTCCATGTAATTTGTTTGCCTCTTGCATAAATGCCCACATTGCCGTGCTCTTGGGATTGGGATGTTCCCAGACCTTTCGAGGTGTCTTTGTTAGATCCATTTTAATGCGTATTTCAGTCTCATAAACTTTTCATTTCAGAATCAGCTCAAATTATAGATGAAGATCGAGGATTGAACTACAGTGACCACAAGAGACTGCATTAAATACTCCAAGATAAATAAATGTCCGAGGTAACTTGACCGACGCGGCAACGCCTCTGCCGTGCTCTATCGTGCGGGGTTCCGTTTCCGACATATTCATCCTTTCAGCTATGACCTAGACTGAGATAGGTTGTGACACTTTGTCGATCTCGTCTATACCTGCTCCGAGCCGAGGCTTGTGGGGAACCCTGTAACTTTGTTGCCATCTTTGCTTGGCTGGTGTTGAGATTCAAGATCAACAAGATATCACCACCACTGCACACTAGAGTTGATAAACACTCATTACATTACATAGAGTACTTCTCACCATAATGCCAGTGAACAGTTATAATTAAGTAGAGTAGAAATTACAAACGCTCAGCTGCTAAAATTTGATAGCAAGACAAAATCTGCTACTTCATCCCAGGATATTATATCCTCACCATGTTGGTGTCATATCTGCCCTCCCTATAGCATCGTACAAGATACACGCTCTCTTAAAACCCCCAACGCCATGCTCAAAGCCCAAGATCATGCCAGCCATCTGCACACCCATCTATTCTCATTTTCCTCCAAGTATAACATTAACCTGCTCCTTACAGGTATGGCATCCACAGCGCATCGCACTGTGCCAGGTTCATAGGGTTGACAGCCTTGGCGATAGCGTCAATCACTGTCTGGTTCGCAGGCAGGTTACCAACAGGGCTGTGCGCCAGGCTGAGTGCCCGCTTAACAATCGATTCGCTGTTGACCTGCACAGAATCTCGAAGTTGGCCCTCCGTAATTACTCCGTTCCTGTGGCTGCCAGTAAACCAGAACAGCATCTCATCACGCACAAGAAGCGTCAATGCGTGCTCCAGTTCGTATTCAGGCTCCGTCAAGCATCGCGCGATGGCCATCAGCGAGCATGCAAAGATGCCTTCAGTGGCAAGTGGTCCCATCAGTGTTTGAAGGTTGGGCGTGAGTCGGAATGGCACCGGTTCAGGGTTGTGAAAGAAGGGTTTGTTGGCGCTCATATAAGACATCATTTCAGACCCCCAAACCTTACCCGTCGCCCTTGATATGTTGATCTTCTGCGGGTATCGGTTGTGCATGTACATGATATACGTGATGAATGTCAATGCCGCAAGCTGGTACGAGAACTGGCGGCGGAATAGCCAGAACTCGGCAAACTGTGGGAATACCTTCTGGAAGTACTCTATTGCCACTGTTGATGGCACCCACTTCTCCTGGATCGCGTTGAATACCTCCAATCGAGCTGTCGCTGCCTGCTCAGGCTTATTCTGTTGATTGTTAGTAACTGTGAAACCATGCTGATGTCTGTGGCAACTTACAGAGCTTTTGCTCTCGAGGGCTCCGCGAAGCTTCTCCATAGTGAATAGGACAGGGTCGTCCTTCGACATGCCCATGTTTCGACAATGATCCTCATACACTCCCTGTAGTGTAGTGTAGGATGTGTCTTCCTGGACAAGTCTGATATGAGGTGCGAACGGAACCATGATTGGTATCGTAAACTGCAAATCACGACGTCGACTCTCCTTCTTACGGCCCAATGTTTGGTTAAGCGACCGGAAAAGCTGCAAAATGCGCTCCTCTCGTCGGCAGTGTCGAGCTGCAGGGTGCTGAATAGCCCATTTGTGAATACTTCCATCATGACCACGCATTTTGATACGGCGGTAAGACGCGCTGATAGATCGGACAAGATCGATGTTTGGAAGGAAACGATCGATGCGGATGAAGTCTTGGTTCTTGTCCTTGTGCTGCAAGTATTGACCAGGAACCTCCACCTCGTCAAATTTGCCATACCTAAATTCACTCAGGTGAGGAGAAAAGTTTTCGAGAAAGGCTCGAGGTATTCGATGATCCAACTTCTCCTCAAACTTGTTCCGCCAGCGGCGCAACTTGTAGATATACTCGTACATTGTTGGCTTGACAGTAACGAAATCCGCCTCGAATGACTTCTTGATGTGACTAGGCAGAATTGTTTCAGCGAAACGAGTGATGTTGGTTTCGGTCGCTGCTGGGAGCTTCACGTTCTTGGCGAAAGATGGTGGTGTTCGGCTGACGTAGGCCAGAGCATCGTTAAGAAGAGCAACAATTAGTCGGTATGCGTCTTCATCAGGAGGACACTTGAAGTTCTTTTGGATCTGGTCCACCATAGTCTCCATTGAGAGGGCCAGCAGAGGGAAAGCAGTCTTGAGGACTGACATGACCTCTTCGGTGTAATCCCACGGAGGCTTCTTCTGAGGCTGCCCTGGCTGTCCAGGTTGAGGGGTGGCCTTTTGTGCGGCCTTCGAAGGATCAGGTGTTTGCCCGTTGGTAGGTGCGGGAGTACCTGCGGCGTTGCCGTTCGCTTCACCCTCCGCCTTGACTGGGGTTCCATCAGCCGCATTTGCAGTGCCTGGTCGTGATGATGCTGTACCAGGCCTGGGGGGATCCTGCTTTGTCATGGATGGTGATGCGCTCGCCTTTCCATTGGATGCGACAGATTGCGCGCGTTGTCGTGCTGTTCTGTCTCGGGCTTCCTGATTCTTCTTTATAACAAGAAGATCCTCTCGATTGGTTCGAAGCTGGAAGTACAAAGCCTGGGGATAGGACTTTGCGATCTTCAGCAGCAGCTGGAAAACACGAGGAGCTTCCTTATGGCCGAGACCCGTGATAAGTTGTTGAATGAAAGTAATCCAATACCACACGGGTGTTTCGCCCTTGAAGTCATCAAAGCCCAACGCGATCGTGCCCTTGGCGTCATCCAAGCTGAGGAGCCAGAGGATTCGTGCAAGGAGCTTGCGGGACTTAGCATTCTTGTAGCTTCCCGCAGCTTGTAAGTATGAGGTGAGTGCTTGTCGCGCCGCATTGAGGTCAGTCGGGTCTTCCTTGAACTTGCGATCGTTGAAGTAGCCCCATTCCGCCCAAGCTTTGGCGGCACCGATGTCAAAGTATAACGCCGTGCCATAGGCCGAATCGGCCTCATCCTTTTGCTTGAGCTTCTCCAGAAACATACCCTTGAGAGTGTAGAATTCGGCTTTCTGAGACGGGCTAAAGTAGTTGAGGTTTGTATTGTTGATAACATCCAAACCACTCGAGAGCTCGTCAGGATTCTCGTAATGACATTTAGCCTGTTCACGAAGTTTCAAGAAGGCTTCCTGAATCTCAATATTAGGCAGCGTATAAATGCGGCTCAATTGATTGATGCAAACATCAGGAAGGTTGTGCTTGCGAGCGACATGGGCGAACCTGTTGATGATCCAGGCAGTCTCGTGGTAACCACGATAAGCAAACGAACTAGCTCCACCAGCGTTTTGCTGCCCTTGCTGGGGAAGCAATTGTAGATACGTCTGGTTGATGAGGCTGAATATATGTTGTCTCCAGGTGACGAGATCTTGCCAAGCAGTGATATCATCCCACACATTCGGGAGTCGATCACGCCAAGCACCCAGCAGCAACTTGAGTTCGCCAGACTTGACGTCCAAGTTTGTCTGGTTGGTATTCGCAAGACTCTGGCAAATGACACTGGCGTCATGAAGCTCAACCAATTGTTGGAAGTTCTGAAGAAGTGGAACGTGGGCATTGGTCAGGCGCTCAGGCAACTGGTGCCATTTGCGAATTGAGAGCTGAATTGCCTCATCGCAGACGCGAGCAAAATCAGTGCTAGGCTCTTGCTGATTGTGGAATTTGAGAAGTGACATGAAAGCTTGGAAGAAGGCTCTGCGGGGTGTAGGAGCGTCCATAACACCCTTGATGATATTATCCAAAGCCTCACGGTGTTGTTCATCCTGCCACATCTCTGTGTTCCGCCAAGCGCACTCGAGAAGGAGATCTTGGAAATTTTCATGCTTAGCGAAATCCTGAAGAATCTCCCACTGTTGCAGCTTCTGTGCACAGAGAACCCAGTGATCCTCCCAGAGCATGTACTCGGCTTGGGAGAAGGGGATCACACCGGTTCTGGCCTTGATTTGGGCATTCTCATACAGCTTCTGGGCCTTGTCCCACATGCCGTTCTGTTCATATGACAGAGCAGCATTGGTTTCAACAAATTGACAGCGACGCCTCCAGGTGCCGTAGAACAAATCGTCTTCTTGAAGTGAAGCGTAAAGCTCGACAAGAGCGTCGAGGTTGCTTTCTCGCACCGTGGCGGAATCGACCTGCGGTTTAATGGCAGAGTTCTCAAGTTGAACCAAGGCAGTATACCAAGCATCGTAGGTCTTGGCCTCAAATTTGAGGACATGTGGTGGAATCTTACACTCAGGCCAAGTCTTTGCAGCGCCATCGAGGATTGACTGAATGACGTTAGGACGCTTGTCAATTTGCCGACTGTGATAATCCTTTGTGAGCAAAGCAACAATGCCGCGTTCTAGGTCAACTCGATCATCCTTGGCTACAGACGACCAGTAGATTGGGAAGAGGGTTACCCAAAGGTCGTGGGCGAGTTGGGAATCAACATGCTGAAGCTGCACCAGTGGTTCGATGACGTCCTTTACCTTGATGTCTCCTAATTCCGACATGAAGCGACGATGAGTGGCCATGAATGATTCGAACTTGTCATCGATGATGACAGTGGGCTCCCGAGCCTCCATCTCCTTCGTGAAGATGGTGAGCAAGCGAGAAATCGGCAAGGTCCTGAAATCGTTTTGGTACAGTTGGATATTGGCGTTTGTCTCCACAGCTCCAAGCAGCAGCTGTGTGGCCTGAGCGAGCCAGTATGAATCTGAGAGTGTGTCCCAGTTCTGAGAGGTAAGGACATAGGACAGACGTGCACTGGCCGACTTGGACAAGCTCTTGTCAAAGATAGCCATAAAGCGATTGCGCATTTCAACATCCGCTGCACGAGTGCCAATAAGGAATGCATGCTCCATGCGAACTGTCAGTTCTGTGCGGGTAATCTTGGGGTCCTCGTAGATGCGAATAACAAGGTCCAGGAACTTGGATAACATGGTTGGGTCTTGTCGGTGTTCAAAGGAGAGCATCTTATGAAGAACAGCCGTCTTCTCCTTAAGTGTTGGCCATGTTCCTTCTGATCGGAATACCCATCCCTCAACCATGTTCAGTATCTCTTCACAAAGCTCAATCGACATAGACTTTTCGACCAAAGTTGCCAAGACGCTGAGGAAAGGTCGTCGATTGTCACCCAGCACTTCCATCCGCAGCGCTACGACCTGAATTTCCTTGATCATGATCTTGGTTTGAATCTCAAGATCGTAGGCGGACATTTCTCCGCTCGGTGTATTGGGGTCCTGATTCCTGTTGTTAACGCCAGCTGC